CCTCTACCACCTGCCAAGATATTTATGATATTTCCACTTCACTTAGCATGGGTCATCACTTTTACCATGCTTCATAGAAGCCATCTTACTAGCAAGTTTGCACCATTTCCTGGGGGCTTTCTCAGGGTGTAAATTTTATACTTTGGGAGAGCACACACAAATTGTTATCTAATCTCATGTTCCATCCCCCCTTAATCAAGTACTCTCAGAATCTAGTCCCACATGTATTCCCTTACTTCCTGCAGTCTGTGCTGGTTAGATCTTTTTGCTCCTTTGGGGTCTGGTTTCTTTCCTCCCTTATCATGCCTAGCATGTCCCCAGCTGGGTTATGCTGCCCCTTAACCCTAGTTATAGATTTAGTGGATAGAGGGTAGGTGGGGGCAGATCCTGAGGGGTGACATGTTGTCTTGCCAAGAGGCCCAGGCATTGTCTCAAGCAAGGGAACAATGCAGCTCTTAGTAGGGAAGGGTAGCTTACTTCTGCAGGCTCAGAGGGTCAAGAGAAATCTGGGAATTCAAGATTTTGGTGGGCAATCAACTCAGATGTCCGCATTCCACGTGCCAGGGTCTCATTCTTTCCCACCCACAGTGCTGTCTCTAGCATAGGAGACCTAGTTTAGTTGGTAGTTTAACTTTGGAGCTTGGCTACCTAATGATTTAGCTCAATCTGGTCCTCAGCTTTCTCTGCCATTCTGCTACAGGTAATGAAAGCCTCTTGCTATGAAAGAGATCTTCTTGCTCTCACACTTGGCTTTCAGCTGTCAGCTAGTCAATCTCTCAACTTTTTGATTTCTTTGCCTGAAGTTTCGATGGAGCTAAACAATAGCCATTCAATCCCCTTACAGTTAATACATTCTCTTTCACTGGTATACTATCCCAATTAACCACTGGTGAAAGTCTTAACAACTAGGCTACTACCTTGTGCCAGGGGTGATCTGTACTCCATCTATCACCAGTGACGAGGTCCTCCTACCCGCTGAGTGGTGAGTGATCCAGATCCAAAACTCCATTTTATTGTCTGCTTTCTCAGACCTCTCCTGGCTCCAACTGCAGCAGTTCAGGTTTCCTAGGAAGCAGACTCTGAGGCGGACTTCAGTGTTCAGGATAATTATTAGGGAGAGCTCTTGGGATCAACATCTGTGGATGGGAGGGGAAGCAAACGGGATTGGGCAGAGGTAGAAGTTGATCTGAGCTGCAGGTTGATAGGCTCAGCCAACCTCACTGGGAGCTTTTGAGTGGAAATGGCCCGTCAAGGTTGTCTTACACGGGGCCAAAATAGCCAGTCCTGTCTATCTTTGCCACGATCAGCCGTTGAATTTGGGCCACCTGGGAAAGGGGCATCTCCTTGGGCAAGGTGGCTCTCTGCAGATGAAGCAAACCCTGAAGGAGATGACAGCTGACAGCTGTGTGCTGACCACAGTCCCCACAGCTGGGCAACAAGTCCTTCCTTGAAGGGTCTCTAGTCCATGCATCTCAATGTCTGCCACAGATATCATGTCAGGTTACTCTCAGATTGTTCAGATAAAAAAAAAGAGTTCATTATGCTATACGTTATGCTATATGCACAACTTTTCTGTAAGTTTAATTTAAAAAATAGCAAAAAAATACTTTCAAAATAAAAATCGTTTATTTTTTAAGATTTTATTTATTTGTCAGAGAGAGAGAGAGAGAGAGCAGAAACAAGGGGAGGGGCAGAGGGAGAAGCAGGCTCCCTGCTGAGCAGGGAGCCCGATGAGGGACTGGATCCCAGGACCTGGGGATTATGACCTGAGCCGAAGGCTGACGCTTAACCGATTGAGGCACCCAGGCGTCCCAAAAATCTTTCTGTAAAAAATGAACATACTTATATAAATTAAATATGACTAAAGAAACACCTAAAAAAGAGCCCCCTATTGCTGATACAAAGAAAGGGAAATGAACAATTATATCTAAATTTAAAAAAATAACAAAAATAAAAATTAAAAAGAAAACAAGCAAGGGGAATGATGTTGAAAGACAAAAATTCATTTGAATGAGTAAAACACGGATCACCAGAGGAGCTGGTGGGAAATAAGGCTGAAAGGCAAGTTGAGGCTTCATCCTTGCTGACACGACATACCTCAGACTAGGGCAAGAACAGAAAATGCCTGTTTCATCACAGCTAGCCTGGTCTTTAATTTTACCTCACCTCTTCTGAATAGGTAAAGTCTTTTCCAGATTACCTTTAATAGTTACTGTTTCCTTTTTTCACCTTCCTTTTGTTCCTTCCCTGTCCAAGGCCATCATGGAACTTGGAATGTGAAGATGTGAGTCTTTGCTCAGCTTCCCCAAACTGGGATGAAAATTATTTTTAGGATGAATCTCTGAGTCACAGAGGGAGGAGGGAAAGAACCATTTTAATCTCTTCCTTTCCCCTCCTTCATAACCTGCTGTACAGCTAAATCATTTTAAAATCTTGTCTTTTTCCCTCTTCCCCAGCAATCATTTGCCTTTTATTTTTCCTTTGGAAACAGTATCCATCAATCTTCATCAGAAGCTTCTAAAAATGGAAGACATTTGTCTTTGCTGAATGGACCACAGACTAAATTAAAGGAGATTGCCTCAAGCCACTTTCATGTAAGTAAATTTATTTATTGTAATACTGATTGTTGGGATCTGAGAGGTTATATACAGTTACTCCTCATCCCCTCTTCACTGTCCTCAGAGAGGACACCTCCGCTGGGCTCTCCCTCCTGTCTCTCCTAGCTTGAGAGTAGTAGAAGGGATTCTTGTTTTCAGTGGGGAGATGCAGGCAGACACTGTGTTCTGTCCAACCACCTTTGCAGCAACAGGCTTGAGCATGTCTCATGCTTCACTATTTGACCACATTTCTTTGTGAGAGAAATAAGCATGGAAACAGTGAACGTTGCACTTTTTAAAAAGTTTCTACCAATTTACACAATAGACAGTGGGAAAAAAATCTTAGCCAACTAAGTTACCAAGAAAGTGGGGAGAAAGTTCTATTTTGGATAAAGTAGGCCCTGGAAGAATATCTGTGGAATGAACTGAATGAAAGAAGAGAGAGCTGGCTTAACTTCAGAGAACCAAGCTTTAACCAGGCAAGCTTCTGGATGAAAATGTTAATAACACCCCTTATTTATGTGGCTGTTTGGCATTTTCAGAGTGCTTTCACACACATTATTTCAGGTGATCCGTGGAACAACCCTGCAAGGGAGGTATTATTGGTACCATTAACAAAAAAACAAACAAACAAACAAAAAAAACAGGATTCAATGATTTGCCTGAAGCCTAACAACTAAGAAGTGGCAGAATTAGGGCCAGCACTCAGGTCTGCTATCTACTGTTGGTATCAAGATACCAGATGGATTTTTCTGATTTCAAAGTGGAGCCCTCAAGGATTACTGCTAGGGGACTTGTCTTATTTAAAACTTTCAGGGACTGCTTGGAAGCAGGCTCATATAAAAAAAGTCACTGGGCTGAGATGTCCTTAGGCTCTCCAGAGTAGTAAATACCAAGCAGATGGATCTAAATTGAAGAAAAGATAAATTGCACAAAGCTATGTGAGTGGACAGAAGTATGGCAAATGAGTTTCATTCTGTACTAATTTTGGATAATGTATTTAGGATTGTTAGTCTGAAGCATACTTAAAAGAAAATGAGTTTGGAGCTATGTTTTATTTCAAGAAAGAGAACCACGGGGGGGCACCTGGCTGGCTCAGTCGGTAGAGCCTGCAACTCTTGATCTCAGGATCATGAGTTTGAGCCCACATTGGGTGTGGAGCTTACTTAAAAAAAGAGAGAGAGAGAGAGAGAGAGAAAGAGAGCCACAAGTTATTGTTGACTGTTTCTTAAAGTCATTTATAAAATGCCAGGTCTTGTTGCTAAGAATGTGGAAAATAAAACTGAAAGCATTGTTTTCTCTTACATTCGACAAAATGATAATGAAGGTATACCTGGAATCATGCACTGAATTCTGCCCCAAAACTTTAAAAAAAAAGGAGCCTCATAAATACATGAGGTCATAGTAAAGGGCCACTAAAATAATCAAATACATTTCCAAGAAGACAGTTGCTTTAAAAAAAAAAAAGTATTAAGTGGATATTTGGAGGAAATCCTTACCTTTCTGAAGTTTATGTCATAGAGAGCAATTACAATATTTAAAAACACTTCATTTTCAACAAACATTTCTTGAGAGAACATTATATTCAGGCCCTATGCTCAATTTTACAATGAATAAAACACAGAAGTTCACAACCATTGTCAGAGAATACCAGACTGGTTGGATCTTTAGTCCAAATGAGCACAGCTTTTCTTGTGTTCTTAGTGGTTTGGCATCCGGTTTGCGTACACGGTCTCTAGGGTTTGGTAGGCATGTGCTGGTTGCCAGAAGCCAATCACCCCTGGTGAACCTGCAGTCAAGTTGTTCCAGCCACAAATCTGCAGGATTGGACTCTTCATACCACCGAGAGGATAAACTGAAGTGATTGCATTAATTTTATTTATTTATTTATTTATTTATTTATTTATTTATTTATTGACAGCATGCCGTGCATGAACAGGGGGAGGGGCAAAGGGAGAGGGAGAGAGAGAATCTTAAGCAGGCTCCACGCCAGGCGTGGAGCCCTATCTCATGACCCTGGGATCATGACCTGAGCCAAAATCAAGAGTCAGATGCTTAACTGACTGAGCCACCCAGGCGCCCTATGAAGTTATTATTTTTAATAACCTTCTCATTAACTTTTAGTTGTTTATGTGGGTCTTACAGACACCGTCCTTCTCTGGGGTTGGCATTTCTGAGCTAGGAAGGTACAGACAGCTCCTGTAAAATCAAGATATGTTCCCAAAAGTTGACTTCTAACGTGGTTGTTTAAAACTGAAAATACATTTTCCCCAGAAAAACAATGTGACAAACTGGGGTTAGGTTCTCAGGCCAACTCTTAGGAGCCCATTAATAATCAACTTAGGAGCCCACATAATCAACTCTATGAGAGAATGAGAACTGCGACCACAACATTGTTTCTAGGGGGAAAATGTGCACCAGCAGCGGAAGGTCTTCCTTCCTCCCCCACTTCCTACCTCCATGAGTAATGAAGCCAGCGTGTTTACTACAGGAAATGCAGCTCCTAGTGTGGGTGGCTGGGCGCTGTGGCAGCCTCGAATGCCTTATCCACTGGGCAGAGATAGTCTCTCGCCTCTCCTGCCCTAAGTCTGTCAGTGAGGAGAGTGGGAGAAGGTGGGGAGTCTTTCCCCAACTCACCTTTTTCAGAATAGGGCTGTTGGGATTCTTTGGAGGGGTTCAAAGCCATAATTTCTGGGGCCCCTCGTTCAAAAAGAGAAAAAAGTGCAGCTAAAGGTACTAAAACAGAAAGCTTCTTTCCTTTCTTCTGGTCTCTCTCTCTCTCTCTCTCTCGACTTGTCCTGGCATTTTTAATTTAGATAGACAGTTTATTATAACTATTTAATATCATTCCAAGTAAGGAAATATTTTGGTTATTAGCATGAATTTTATATTGTACAATGCCAGTTCGAAATACAAGCGCATTTAACTCCTATGTGAAATCACCAAAATGACACAATTTCTGTTTTGTAGTTCAGACATGGATATATATTTTCTTCTTACTAGAGCAGGGGAAACACTGCAGAAAACTAACTTAACCATTATTATTTCACTTCTTGATACACACAAATTCCACCAATACTGTCTGAGGAGTAAGAAAGGACTGAAAGTAAATGAAAATGTTTTCAGCATAGGTGCTTGGCTAATACAGGGAAGAAACACAAGAAAGAAAAGGTAGGATAGGGTTCCTTGGTCTTTTGTGTTTCTTAGAATGCCATTCCTTCTTTCTGTGTTCAAAGCAAGTTCTGGTTTCAGTGGAAACATGGCCTTTCAGAGCTATTAGCACCCCCCCTTACTTAGCTGTAGGCATAACACACCTTGTATTAATTTGCTTTGTTTCACTGAACCCCACTTGTTGTGTGTCTACCAGGATTCTGTGCTCATGGGGCACCAAAAATGCTATATGTGAATGGGGTGGCAAGGTACAGTGGACAAGCATATTGTGTCCTCTCTTGCTCACATGCATGCTCCATTGTCTCATCAACAGCACTACGAAACATGAGTTCAAAGATAAAATCGTTAGGCATTTCAAGGTGGCAGCAATGGAATATTAAACCAAGCATAGGATCTTTCTGAATGTGGAGTTCTGCATTATGCCATGGGAATGGGAAGGGTGGGGGAGGAGGGGAGGCCTGTGGCAGCCTAGAGTGGGCATTCACAAAGATAGAGCTACCCAGGGTGTGCAGATGGATCTTAGGCCTCCTGAGGGCCTGGGCAATTTCCTTTCAGGACACCACACCTAGGGTATTATTTGACACTGTGATGGCTTCAGTCAAGACCCCAGAGGTGGGCACTGACCTCTAGGGATGATGACATTTTCAGGAAAGGGTATGCCAGTAGTGGCAATGAGCGGGTGGCAAAATATTAGTCAAATAGAAGGTAAAAGATAGGATTGTGGAAGGCAGACCTACTAAACCATATTATAAACTAGTTGATTGAGTACTTAGACTGATCAATGTAAACAAATCTTCTGCACAAGTTTACTTAGAGTTACAGATAGTGATTCCCTTCTTCCCCAAGTGACAGATAGCTTGTCTATTTTGGAGTACAAAAGGGAAGGGAATGACCTTATATAGTGAAAGCTGCTTTGTCCCCACAGTTCAAAATATTTATCACTCTCTGTGGATGAGCTGAAGGACATCATGTCTATTCTTTCCTTTTATTTACAGTAGTCATGTGGCAGAAGCCTGGGTTGTTCTCAAAATTACTCCGATAGGTATTTCCCAGTACATTTAAGTGTTTAGTTACATAACCATTATTCAAGAAGTGTACAGATTTTTGTGTCAGAAAGCAATTTTATTACACAGAAAGCCTGGCTTTGTCTAAAAAATTAAAGTAGCTTACTGCAGCTTTTCTACAAAATCCCATTTATCATAGCCTAAGAGAATGGTATAATGTTTATAAAGTGTTTACCTGAAACAGGCTACTTGGTCAGAACTTGATAAATGATACTATTACCATTCTCCCTAGGGGAAAGCTCTTTGTTGTCTCATCAAGTTAAACGTGGGATCTCTGATTTTCATTTATAGTGTCTCCCACTGCAAAAAAGCATTCAACTGATCTGCCTCTTAATGAACTTTACATACAGCTTCAATTGATTTTGACTGAAACTATCCTCTTCTTATTTTTTTTAAATTTAAATTTATTTGAGAGAGAGAGCGCGCGCGCACTCGCAGGTGGGCCAAGGGGCAGAAGGACAGAATCTTCAAGCAGACTCCCTGCTGATCATGACCTGAGCTGAAACAAGAGTTGGATGCTTAACCCACTGAGCCACCCAGGTGCCCCCCCTTCATAATTTTTAAAAATATTTATTTATTTATTTATTTATTTATTTAAGAGAGAGAGAGAGGGAGAGCATGGGCGTGTGTGCACAGGGGAAGGGGCAGAAGGAGGGAATCTCAAGCAGACTTCCTGCTGAGTGCCGAGCCCGATGCAGGGCCTGATCCCATGACCCATGAGACCATGACCTGAGCTGAAACTAAGAGTTGGCCGCTTAACCGAGCCACCCAGATGTCCCGCCCTTCATAATTTTTAACTACAGTCAATGCTCATTATTCACAGATTCTGTGTGCAAATTTAACTACTTGTTTCAATTTATTTGTTCCAAAGAATATGAACTATAAACCAGATGTCAATCCATTAAGAACACAAGAAAGGCAAAATCAATTGTTAGCGTTTTCACAGTCATTTGCCGACACGCACAGAGTGGTGAAATATTTGTTGCCCTATGTGTATGTTCCCATTGAGGTTGAATGAGGCAGTTCTCTGCCTTCTTGTTTCAACTCTCATGCTATAAACCAGTGTCTTTTCCATGGTCTATTTAGTGCCATGTTTTTTGCCTTTTTTTCTTCTTTGTTGGTGATTTAGCTGTTTAAAATGGCCTCTAAGCATAATATTGATGTGGTGGGTAGTGTCCCTAAGTTTTAAAGATTTTATTTACTTATTTGAGAGAGAGAGTGAGAGAGGTATATGCCTTCCAGAGAAAATATGTTAGATAATCTTCACTTAGCATGAGTTATAGTGCTTTTGGTCATGAGTTAAATATTAACAAATCAACAATATATATTAAATTAGGTGGCTCTAAAGAGAAACAAACATAAAACAAAATTATATTGACTGGGTTGACAAAAATGTTGTGTGTGTTGTGACCAGAGGCTTGCAGGAACCTAATCCTGTATTTCCCCTAGAAGCAATGGCTCAGCAGTCACTAATTCAGTGTTCTTGGTGACTTTATAGAACAAAGCTACCATGAACAAAGAATCAACTGTACCTGGCAATGAATTTCTTCAGTGGAAAGTTATTTTATTTACAAATCAAATTACAATATGTTCTTTTAGAAACCATGTCTAAGAGAGCAATTATTTTCAATTAAGAGTGTACACATAGACACATAGAAGCTTTACGTTAAAGACCTTGGATGTTATCACCTCTCTGCAAGCCCATCCTCCCCCCATCAATTCCTTTTATAGCATCCCTGACAGGTGGCCATTGTTTTCTGATTGAATGCTTCCAGTGATATGGAGCTCACTTCACCAGGAAGTCCTGTCCACTGTGGCTCAGTTCCAATATTCAAAACTGTCCTTTCTTATGCTAAGCCAAGATCTTCCTCTTGGAAATTGCCCTCCTGATTGTTTAGATTTGAACCGCAGAGCAACATGGAACAAATCTACTCTCTCCTTTGCGTAAGAACCATTTGTCAGATCTCTTTTCTGCAGGTTAAGTAGACCCAATTCCCTCAACTTTTCTTCAGAGGACAAGATTTCCACTTTTCCTGGATGTCTCTTCCAAATGAATCCTGATTTGTTACGTATGGTAGCTCTTTTTTTTTTTTTTTAAAGATTTTATTTATTTATTTGAGAGAGAGAGAATGAGAGAGAGCACGAGAGGGAAGAGGGTCAGGGGGAGAAGCAGACTCCCTGCTGAGCAGGGAGCCCGATGCGGGACTCGATCCCAGGACTCCAGGATCATGACCTGAGCCGAAGGCAGTCGCTTAACCAACTGAGCCACCCAGGCGCCCATGGTAGCTCTTTTTATGTGATATTTACATTTGAACACATAATTTCAGAAATCCCGAGCTCAGCAGCACAGGTCTGGTACCCCTGTGACTTGAATGCTGTTTCACTTTAACATAGTTTTTTGGTGGTTGCCCACACTGCATTAAGATCTGTAACTTATTGTCACAGTATCAGCTCAAGCTGAATCTCCCAAATCCTGGCCCTTTTCAAAGACTTTTTTTTAAAGATTTTATTTACTTATTTGAGAGAGTGAGAAAGAGAGGATGATGGGGGGGAAAGGAGGTAGAGGGAGCAGGAGGAGCAGACTCCCCGCTGAGCAGGCAGCCCAATGTGGGGCTCAATCCCAGGACCCTGAGATCATGACCTGAGCTGAAGGCAGATGCTTAATCCACTGAACCACCTAGGCGCCCTCAAATGATTTTTCTGAACAAAGATACTACACTTTATATTTACTGTACTTACATTTAACCTTAATGTCATCTCTTTTTTAAAAAAAAACATGATTTTGTATAGTTATTCTGTCATCTATCATTTTTGATCTCTTTGAGTTCTTAAATTTGGTACTTTAATTCAAAATATTGACAAAAATATTACTCAGGACTGGCCAAAAGGGAAAAAGAAAGTCTATATTGCTTTTTTTTGAGAACTCAAGACCTCAAGATTTGTGTCACTCCATTAGTCAGCACTGTTTGAGTCAACCTTTGTCTGCAATAATATAAACCCATATCTCTTCATCTCATCCAAAAGATGTTTTGACTTTTTGAAATGCCCAACACTTGTTCAGTAATGTAATAATCCTACCAAGAAAGGAAGTGGTATTTCTTTTTCTTTTTTCAGTGTTTATTTATTTGAAAGAGGGGCAGAGAGAACACAAGCAGAGGGAGGGGCAAAGGGATAGGGAGAGGGAGAAGCAGACTCCCTGCCCAACAGGGAGCCTGACTCGGGGCTCCAACCCAGGACCCTGAGATCATGACCATGAGCCAAAGTCAGACGCATAATCGACTGAGCCACCCACACACCCCAGGAAGTGGTATTTCTTTGTAATGATTTACTTGAAAACGATCCATGACTCCT